GATGTTTAGTGATGGGCTTAAGAGTATAAGTAGTAAGGTTAAGGTTAGGATAGGATGGAGTTACGGTTGCGCGGTTGAGTGTAGTTGGGATTATGGATTAGGGATAGAGCTAAATATCGAGTGATAATGATGATGAAGATGATGATGCAGATGACAACGACGACGATGATGATGATGATGATGATGATGATGATGATGATGATGATGATGATGATGATGAAGTAGGATAGCACCGTGCGTCTATATAACAATGTTACACGACATTAAACTGTTCACCACGCCATGAGGTAACGTCCGTGTGTCTGTGTAAGCAATTTGTGGTCATGGGCAACGATACCGCACTTGCTAGTGCATAGCTATAGATTGATGGCTCGTGATCGATCAATACGCTTCCGATTATCGATTATGTTATAGATGTACTGACGTTACGCCTTGCGTAACTCTAACGTAGCGTAGCGTTGGCGTAACGTATAACGTAAGCGTAAGTAAAAAAAAAAAGTTATCTTTCTCAGAAAAATCCTGCGCCTCTGTTCAACACGGAGTTATCGTATGCCTTTTCGCGATCGCCCCCCCCCCCACCATTAGTTTATTTCTCCCTCTCTCTCTGTCTCCTCTCTCTCTCTCTCTCTCCGCTCTATCTTCTAACCTATACCCGCCCCTCCGGGTTTGCCCCGTCTCTCTCCTCTCTCGGCTCTCTCTCATCTCTCGTCTCTGCGTGCTCTCTCGTGGCGTCTTTCCTCTCTCTCTGCTCTCTCTTCCTTTCCTGCCCACTCTGGAGTCGGACGGGAACTTTTTCTCTTCTCGTCTCTCTCGTCCAGTTCCTCCCTCTCTCTCCTCTCGCTGCTCAGCCTCTCTCTCTCGATCTCGGTCGTGTCTCTCCTCTCTCTCTCTCTCGGTCTGCTCGTCCTCTCGTCTCTCCGGTTAGTCTCATAAATCTACCTTAATGCTGCGTGCGTCGCCTCCTATCTTCTTTCTCATGTCTCTTTCTTTTCTACCTCTCTCTCGCTCTGCTCTCCTGAGTCTCTCCTCTCTCAACCTACACTAACAAACCACGCACAAATACTCCTTCATTCATTCATGCCCGCGCGCGCTACGCTCGCACCTACTTCAAGTTAGCTGCGAGTATCAAACTTTCTCCCCTTTTCTTATCTCCAACAGGGAAAGCCTGACCCGAATAATATGACACCGGGTCCACCCCACTACCACCCACCATCCGACGGCATTCTGGCTGTGGGCGGGCAGCGATGCATTGTACCGGTAACGGGTGAATAACCTCATAACTCATAACCGATAACTCAGTTGTATAGATAAGCAGAGCGTTGAGCATGAAGATGGTCTGTGTATGAGGATATGTGCGGTGTGCCCCGTTGACACGCCCGCATAGTTATCTGTGTCTAGCCTATGTGAAATGCCGCAGGACTGTGTGCGCGTGTGAGAGTTTGGCTTTCAGTCTCGCTCAAGTGAAAGCGACGTGACATAGAGACCATGATAGCTATCTTAGAAAGGCGTAGAGAGAGGAGAGAGAAAGGAGAGAGCGCGAGAGAGTGGCAGAGAGAGAGAGAGAGAGAGAGAGAGAGAGAGAGAGAGAGAGAGAGAGAGAGAAAGGGGCGAGAGAGACAATAGGGTATTGGATATATCCGACGATAACTGTCATTCGTATATATCTCGGTTTTACTAGTTCTAGGCCCCATAGCGCGAGCATACATGATCATTCGTCTCTCCCATCTCAAATTCTCAACACGAGAGAAATGGATCCGCCACTTTAATCACATTCACGGAATGAGCCATGTCTAACTACGTGTCTGCTTACGTATGTGGGGTCCGTTGCCAGAAACAAAATTAGTCTTAACTTTAGTTTTAACGTTAACCTTTGTTCTCGTAGACCGGACCTTCGAAACTTTACCAAGTTTCTGTTAACGTTCTATATGAGTGAATGTCATGTTAAGACGTATATGTTATCTGAGGTATTTGCTGTTAATCGTGTGATGTGTTGATCACGTCTTGTTTACCTCTTTCGGAATTCTGTCAATTCACATGGTCTCCTACGCACCATAACATTTCTAAAGTTGTAGATTAAAAAAAAATCAGCCGTAAAGTATAGTAATCGTTCATACGAGACGAAAGAGCCGGATGTTCTAAAAATAACCCAACAAAATACCGGGACTCTAATAAAAGGTCTATTAAATAAAGAACCTGCTCCAATCTCATATTACTCTAACACGTTTTACCTCCACATTAGACGTTCGTGTTTTCGTGGTGAAAGAATTACCAGTACGTTTTCTCACGTACACAAATAATGATTTTAACCCCGAAAAGAAGAATACATTATACTGTGTTTTCTTTGATCGTTGTTTAAGTGTCGGAAGAATTATCAGTACTTGTTTCAGAATTGTTTTTTTAAAGAAAAAAGAATATTTTACATTGTGTTTTCATCGGTTGATGTTACTAGACAGATGGCGTCTTGTTGTTATTTTTTGCTCGTGACTCACGTGGCGTAGAGCCGCGTGTGCGCAGTTACATGAGAACGAATTTCTTCGCTCATCAGACGGCTGTATAGCTAATGAGATGTGACGTGACCGGGCCGTGAGTATGACGACAGGTCCTACGTACAACTGCGTAGCTAGTTAGCTAGTTATACCATCTCTCTCACTGCGCACTAATCATTATTGCTTCTCTTTATGGCTCTGACAATTTTTTTCTCTGACTGTCTGTCTGTCTGTCTTTCTCTCTCTCTCTCTCTCTCTCTCTCTCTCTCTCTCTCTCTCTCTCTCTCTCT